GGAATAGTACACCCAAAACATGATTAGCCTTCATTTTCTACTCACCCCCATGCTGAACAACACTCTGGAGTACTTTTTTGATATCTCAAATGCATCTGGAGATCTGGGAGGCTTCTTGCTGTCTGCTGACATTCAAATAATGGAGGTCCATGGTGCCCGAGGCAGAAAGGTCCAAAAAAGTCCACAAAAAACGTGTCAATATTCCTCCATACTGCTCGTCCAATGTATTCCAAGTGTCCTGAGTGGTAGCGTCCATAATTTACTCGAAACGAAGTCATTTAGAATGTTTTTAGAGCATAAACAGTAGTGTATAGGATTTCCTAAAAGCGCGTTCACGAGTCTACGGAAGCCGGCAGACCAAACCAGCGCATTCAGCTCGGCAAAGAACTCATGCTCTTCCTCAACACTGAAGTCCTCAGACATTTTTCTTTCGTTGTTTCTTTCTTTGCACAGGTAAACAGCACATTTCTTCTTCTACGCTTGCATTATCGGCAGAGCAGACGCTGAATGCGCACTTACATCTGGTTTGGTCTGCCGCGGTTTGCGTAGACTCGTGAACGCGCTTTTAGGAAATCCTATACACTACTGTTTATGCTCTAAAAACATTCTAAATGACTTTGTTTCGAGTAAATTATGGACGCTACCCACTCAGGACACTTGGAATACATTGGACGAGCAGTATGGAGGAATATTGACATGTTTTTTGTGGACTTTTATGGACCTTTCTGCCTTGGGCGCCATAGACCTCCATTATTTGAATGTCAGCACACAGCAAGAAGCCTCCCAGATCTCCAGATGCATTTGAGATATCAAAAAAGTACTCCAGAGTGTTGTTCAGCATGGGGGTGAGTAGAAAATGAAGGCTAATCATGTTTTGGGTGTACTATTCCTTTAAGGGGACGGTTTTTGCCTATGAGTTGGTTAGACTGCATGGAATCTACATGTTAGCAGGCCGAGCTGCAGTCACACCAAAGATGGCTACCTGTCATGAGGTAAACAGTAAGCTGAACTGAGGCATTTAGCAACTTTATTTGCTGTAACTCCTGACTACATTTGTCATGTGCAGGCTCTGACAGAACATGATTTAGCTGCACACATGGACAGATGTTCAGTTGTTATCTTTGATATAATGAAGATATGCTGTATGATGTACTGGTTGCTGGTTTTTGCGCATGCCTTTCTCCAGTGGATCATAAAAAAAGAAACAGCCACATCACATTAATCTTCGCTATCAGATCTTAATGGGGTGCATCTCCAGCAGCAGCTGAATTTCTATTGGCTAATCAGTAGACATAGGTCATAGCAGCTGTCAAACTGTGAGATTGATAGATTTTAGACAGATATCCCAAGAGAGAGAGAACAGAAACAAATGGATAAAAATAAGCAGTTGGATGGTATGTAATGATGACGCATCATAATAAGCCCCAGACCCCTCAAGCACTACAGCAGCTTAACCCTTGATGAATCAGCTGCAGGAACAAATACCTATTTTGCATTCTTTGTTTTGATATTTATTCATTTGTTTCTATTCTACTCTGCAGACAGTTATAGTCGGTAATGTTAACTATTGTACAGTAGTAGATTTGTTATGTCGGTCTCTGCCCTGACGAAATATTTCTCGTCTGTACTCTATAGCGCAAGGCACACCTGGGCGCATCATTACGCATGCCGAATGCTGACTCTGAAGTTTCTCTCTGTCAGCAGATGATTGAAGAAAATATTTGGGGTCCTATTTACCAAAACCAGTATAATTTATATCAAGTGAGACCAGTGTTGACCAACTGAAGGTTGTGGAATACATTATATTTAATTATTTAGTGCAGCGCTGCAGTAGAGAACTGCTAGTTTTCCAACGATCAGAGCACATAGAATAGTATTTACATTAGACATGTGGAGATTAACACAGAGCTGTTTTCTTGGTGAAAACTATAATAGCAGCCATTCAAAATGGCCCTTCCCAGTCAAACACCAGCCGAATGGCAGCCAACTTCCAGCCACTGGAGTGACCCCCTCCTTCTCCTGGGCGAGCATGTTTTTTTACTCTGACTCCCCCTTTTCACTGAATTACAGGGTCTGACCAGGAGATGACGCTTCTCTTTAGATCTTATTGTCCACAAATCATGACAGAAAGAATATTTTAGTACAAGGATTGATGTTTAAAAAAGGCATCTTAGGGGACTAGTCATGGGCTTATCAAGGAAAGTAGGGAAATTCTGAATAGCTACTGCTGTATGTGTTAATTTTATTATGAATCAAGTTTAATCAAGTTTTATCCTCAGATATGATACCATGGTAGAACATTAAACATCATCCCACCTAACCCACTAACTGAATCATGAGGTTAACAGCACCGTTCGTCCACTTTTTGTTTTGTTTTTTTTACAAATATTAAAAGGTTTCTGTTGGGGACGAACGAGAATAACAGACAACTGAACATCTGTGTCAATCTGTGTGGCTGACTAAAACAAATGTCCTGTCAGATGACCCACATGACAAATGAAGTATAAAAAAACATTTTTAACAAAGCTAATAAATGCCTCAGTTAAGCTAACTTATATACAGTAGATTTTGTGTAATCTAATCAATAAATAGGCAGAAGCTTTCAACTTAAAACCGGTCTCTTTTAAGTTGCATATTGAGGCAAAATTCATACAAAAATGGGAAAAGCAAAAGCAGAAATAAATAAGGTGAAAAAATAAATAAAGCACACATTCATTTAGATTTCTAATATGTTTTGTTCATTTATTTGTATGTCTATTTATTTATTGAACATTTATTTATTTACATATTTATTTCTAATTATGTCACAGTTGGTCCTCCATACTTGCAATTCTTCTTTAACTGCAACTATAAAGGTGCCAGAAATCAGTAAATCCACATTAATCCAAACTCATAAGATACTGACTGTTGATATTTCTAAGTCTAAATATTTCTTCAAACCTTTTTTCTTTCCTGCGCTTCTAAAAATATTGAATAAAATGCACATTTAAAAATACAAACAACAGAGACCCCATTGGTAATGCAGCTTACTTAGTATTGCATGTTTATCTCCAAAAACGGAGCCTACTCACTTCTAAAGTAGGTCATTATAGTGCTGAACAGATGAGCACAAGCAGGGAAAAATAATCTCATAAAAGCAATAATTAGGGCTAATGTAAAATGAATGGATTTTCGCTTTTTTAGCCTGCGCACACTTAATTATCCTGTTGGCTTTTCAGAGCGCATGTACAAAAAGACCCTCCATACGAGCTAACAACTTCAACTTCATAGGAATACACTGAGTGTTAACACTGGTAAGTACCAGTGCAAAGAACTGCCTGGAAATTGGTTTTATGGCAAACTGCACACACTCGCCTCTGGCATTCACTATGGAGTCTATTAAAAATTAAAACCATTTGAGAGCAGAACGTGACCAGTTTAAAGAGCTGTTAGACTCTGGAGTTTACAATGAGCAAACTCAGCTGATGAAATGATCGCAGGTTTCTGTATGAAATGAAGCGAAACAATTTGAGATGATTGTCCTGCTCTCTGGGAAATGGCGGAAATATAGTTTACTAGAGTCATTTTGGAGACATAATAAAGACTGAAAGGAAAGCGGTGGCTAAATGCTTCTCTGGTCTTAGCTGAGACTAAGCTTGTTTGGATTGAAGCTAAAGGTTGCTTTTACCGTGATTATGAAGTGATTATGCCCAAAAAAAGGTTTTCTGAAGCAAAAAGTTCAATTGCACTGGATAACCACTGTGATAATTGACATAATGCTTCCTCTAGTTTTCTTGTTCTACCCTTTAAGTGGCTATACACTTGGTGTAATTGCTATACCCCACTGTCTGGCTTTGGTGCCTTACACAATTTACAGCATAATGAACAACTTCGAAAATCTTTTCTTTAATATGAAATAAAGTATATTCAATACAGCTAAACTGAAAACAAACAAAGCTGCAAAAGGAAAAAATAAAAGGAACTGAGCCTTTAACAACCTTGCTCCAAATGTATGCGTTTCCTTACACTACGGTAATATGTTATATCAACATTTTCATTTAATTTAAGCATTTAGTTCTTTGCTTTTTTAAATTTCCTTCTCAGGTTTTGAAGATCCTATGCCCTAATGTGGTAGTATCTGCCCACTTGAACTGCAAAAGTTCTCCAAATCTATGCAAAAGCTTGTCCACTCCTTGCAACCTTACAGATTTTCTGTGAAATTTAGCTTCAAACTGTATTTAGCCACAAAACAAAGGTTACATTTTTGTCTGGTAAAGAAGACCTGGTTCATAACTGAGTGGTAAACTTACAATTGTACATGAATTCATCCATCTAGGCAGAAATTCTACTTTCATCAGAAAAAATAAGTCCTACCGGTCATCCCACTGTGATGAATGGTAGGATGGTATGATGGTGTCCCATGATTGATTTTTTTTTTTGTGCCCAACAAAGATTTTGGAGTGTTATGGCCAAATGGTTTGAATTAGGATTACTTGGATCACAGGATGTCCTCCCAAAAGATCTCTTAGGAGATTTTATCTGGGGCTTTCTGCACAAAAGCCAGTATTAATGATGTGAGATTTGGGACTTCTCCTTATTGATAGCCTTGCCACCTCTGCCTAAACTGAGGCTTTCGATCAAGGATGGAAATGAGCAAATGTCAGGAAAAAACAAATTGGGCGGCTGAACTTGGGGAGAATTAATGTTTTATCTTAATGCTGGAACTAAACTATTTACAAATATCTAAGTACCTGTTTAAAACTGAGACGATTTTTGCAAACAGATTTTTTCTGCTTCTTATAACCCTGTAACATATGTTTTTTTTTTACATTAGCTTACATTTGAGCAATTGAAAGTATGCTAAAATAAAGAAATTATATTTTTATTTGGGGTTTCCTTTTATTATTCAAACACTGCTGATGCTCTCAACTCTGCATATAGAGGTAAAAACATTTAGAGATTTTTTTTGTCAGAACAGATTACAAATAACAACTCAAGGGTAAAAAAGTAATGCGGTGTACCTGCTCTCCATCAATGAAAACTGTGTCTCCAAATCTCCAGGAGATGGTGGGTGTGGGGTCACCCGAGGCCTCACAGGTCAGGGTGACCTCCTCATCAAACTCAGAGGCAGTGTTGTTGTTGAAGTAGGTAATTCTGGGCAGCACTGGAAACAGAACAGAATGTATTAATGCTTCTCCAGACGCATCGGGACACAGCGGGAGGCTGAGTTAGTTGCAGCCTACACATTAGATTTTATACTGTGGAACTGCACTCCCTTTGATGTGCTTTATCATCTCTCAAAACATTATTCACCTATCTTTTAGGAAGATAGGTGAGGCAATAAAACAAATCCACCAGTAATTTAATTCTGAAGCAACTGATTCTAAAATCAAAGTATCAGATGCAACCATTTCATCAAAGCCACTGGGATGCCAGCGATACAAATAACATCTCCTATGGAAACCTTTGGTCTGTTAATTTGGATTTCCAGCCAGAAACACATTTTTGAAAACATTACAGATTTTTTGTTATTTGATTCAATTTTTCTGCGCTTGTTTGTGTTTCTTCAACTGTTTGATAAATTTGAACACTTGTTAAAGTTGAATTTTGAACACTGATGAAGGAAGATGCAGTTTCTCTCTGCTATACTTTCCTCTCTGAGTTTTGCAAAACCATCATAAGACCGTCACAAAACAATTCCACAGGGACGTGTTATAATGGCCCCCACTGTGCTTGGGGACAAAGCAGCTGCTTCATGCTTGTCCTATCCTCTTTTTTAATATTTCCAAGAGGTTTGGAAAAATAGGTTTAAACAATTGACATGTTTAAACCAATTTGTTCTGAATAAATACAAATAAATAAATAAAAAGGTAAGTTGACCTCCTTCCAACAAAACTTTCCAAGACAAATGTTGGTTCTCCAACATAAAACAGATGCCTAACTTTGATATAATTTAATCATTTTATTGATTATAGTTTTCAACCATCTTCATCCTGTTATTCTTTTTATAAAAATTTGCTTAGTTTGATCAAGTTTAACTGGTGTAGTCAAGAGTTTTGAACTGAAATACATTTGACTTGGAGTTGAATGACGTTTTTTTTAAGAGGCACCATGTAGTGAACAAAGTTTAGAATTGCGTCCAAAGTTTTTATCAATGTAGTTACATTCTAAAGTAAAAGTCTATACTGATGTATGTTTAAATGACATGAAAGGTGGTTGAATTACTTTTGAACACGGCATGCTGAGTACATCATGTCCGTGTGTACTGCTATATTTAAAGGAAAAGATTGTGCAGCAAATGCCAATGAGTGCAAAAAAAAAAGGCCGAAGTGATGGGGGTGGGGAGAAAAACAAACAAAAAAAAAACTACACAGACAGAGATATTCTCTTACCAAACACGTTCAGGCTGACGATCTCGGCTTTCCTTCCTGCCTTGTTGACGGCAATGCAAGTATAATCTCCTTCATCCACCTTCTGGACGTCATTTATTACCAATTCAGAACCATCCTCGTTTAAACTGTATTTTTCACCCATTTGAAGGACGACATCGTTACTGTAGGAGGGAGAGGGAAGAAGGATAAAAGGTTAAAGGTTTACATCACAACCTGAGCAGCCTACAAATACTGTCCTTCCTTAGACTCGACTATGAAGAGTGGCTTTTACAAGATTTTAATTTTAACAACTTTTTTTAAAGCAATGAAACAAGTTAACTGCAAAATATGTAATACATATCTGGTTAAAGAGTAAGTATATAACTGGTATAATTAATTATGGAGGATACATTTATGTGGTAACTTCTAATTTTCTGACTCCAGCTGTAGGCCACATCTTCCGAGTTTCCTTCTAACAAGGGATTTGCTTCAAAATTATCTTAATGGTACAAAATAAAAGTAGCTTTACATTACGGTGCTTGGAAAAAGGAAAAGCGTTCTTGATGGCATTTCATGGGTTACATAGAGCACAATCTAGACAATAGAGCCATGTTGACCAGGACTGCGAGGCCCTAACATTAGACTTCTGGATTAAAACTCCTTTTTAAATAACAGTTTTTTAAATCCAATATTCTAACTTTTGATTACTTTGAATTAGTCCTTTATATAAAGATTAAAGCCATTATTAATATACTTAAACATAAACATCTGATGAACACAGATTTGTAGGTAATAAATCTGCATTATACATAATATGAGTTTGCAAATGATACTAATATAGAAAAGCAAACACATGAAATAAAAATAAGGAAACCAAAAACAACAGGATCAGGAACCATGTTAGTCAAATATAATATAATCTGATTCTTCAGATCGGATTAGGATCATTGTAACCTACAAGTTTTGTCTCATCATCAAAAGAATTTAGTTTTTGAAATACAGTGAACCCTTTCTATAACACGGTTCACCTTTCATGGCCTCACTGCTTCATGGATCTGCATTGTGCATTGTGTTCTGCATTCTGATTGGCTAAACAGTCTCCACACTTCTTCTCTACCTGTGTGTCGATAACATTATGGTTTAATATTTAAATATAGGTGCACATGTACGTAAAACAGCTTGCAAAATTTAAGTTTGCAAAGTTTCTCCAAAACCCATAATGTCGACAAAACGTTGTGCACCAACAAAGGCACTTGTAGACGGGCCGAAAAGGCAGAGGAAGATGCTAATTATCGCAGAAAAATTTAAACTTCTGGACATGCTAAAGGAGGATAGAAGCTGTGCTGCTGTAGGTCACAATTACGGAATTAATGACTCTCCCGTTTGTTACATAAAGAAGGAAGAAAACATCATTAGGACGACAGCAGCAATAAGTTTGAATAGGGATGCAAAAGGGGTTGCAACTGTCCGCAACATGATCACGGTAAGGACGGAGAATCTTTTAGCTTTCAGGATTAATGACTGCAGAAAAAGAACGTTACGCTGGATACGAACGTTATCTGCACAAAAGCTAAAACACTGGATTAAAATGACAGCTATGACATTCATGAATGGGGAAGAGGAGGAGGATGCAGATACCAGGCCATCAACCAGTGCTGTTCAAGTATTTATTACCAACAAGGGCTGGTCTGAAAAAATTTAACAAATGCTTTGGACTTAAAAATGTTTCTCTACACAGAGAGACCGCCTCTGCTCTGCAGATGCGTTCCTGAACAATACATTTGAAGCAATAATTGAGAAAGGAGGGTATAAATCTGATCATTTTTTTAATAATAATTGTTACAAAAAAAATAAAATAAAGGTTACTACTTCACGGATTTCACGTATCATGGGCTCTTTTGGGAACGCAACTGCCACAAAATAAGAGGGTTAACTGTATTATGAAAATTTGACAAAGTAACCTGACTCCTATGTAACTGCAAGGCTTGCAAATTCAAGTATAGTTGACCCATTATTAGCATTAGAGTCTATCAAGAAGAGGTTGCTGGAAATATATAAATGTTGAACTTTCTGTGTTACTACAAAGCAATATTATCAATCATTAATATATTATTTGGCCCCTATTGATTTAAAGAAGACAGTCTGCAACTGTTTGTTTCAGGTGTTTTGTTAAGCCAGGGAAGCTCGGGAATATTGTCCTAAAATAATTGACATATATGCTCATAGTTAGCCTGACGTAGTCCTACTCAATTCTAGTCAGAATATGAGTCTGATACTGCTCCATAGAGCTGTGATTATAGGGCGTGTTTCGAACGAACCAGGGAAAAAAAATGCCTCTGCACTCAATTGGATAGACCTACAACCAATAAGAGCAACGGAGTGCGTGACGTGTGCTAAGCGACGCATAGTTGTCGTTAACAAAAATCAAAGCGTGCAGTTGCACGCCTAGAATAAGTAGATGAGCCTTGATCGCGTTTCTCTGTTCCTCTTTTAAAATTACTTTGCTGTCGATATCTTCTAGAACAGACCTAATAGCAGAATCTACACACCTCAACTCTCCAGCGGCAGCCATTGTTGTTGTCATACAAGCGCGCTTTGGTGACGTGGTTGATTACGTTACTGTTGATCATCTGTCCATCATCGTATAAAGCCCGCCCTGACAATTTGATTGGCCCGCCAGATATCGCGCGAGCATACTCGCTAGGGATGCACGATATAATCGGCCCCATGTCGGTATCGGCCTGTATCG